CACAGGCATTATTTCATCAACTCAAGAAAGAACTCATAAATTCCTCAGCTTTCTAGGGACTGCTACACTTGTGATGGGGGATTTATCTGTGCTTCATTTTTATGTGTGTGGTACCACATATTCACATGGTTGATGCTAATACTTCATATCTTTCTTAGAAACTCCAGCAAATGATTACAAGCCAAAAGTCTCTCTCTTCACACTGCCTTTTCTGGTACATAGGAGATGAGTGGAGACCTTCCATTTTCAGTTGTCATCCTTCCATCTTCACTGTTATACTCAATACATCTCAGTTCTGTCCTGAAATGCTAGGTTATCCCAACCCCTCAGCTTGTGTTAATGCCAATTGTGATAGTGTAATTCTACTGCCGAACTGCCCTGGCGCTGAAATCCTTGAGCTATTTCAACTATCATCTGAGCTGAAAGTAATACTTTGAGCCTATGAGCCAGATTGGATGTAGTCACACGCAGATAAGAGTGTTTTTTCCTATTGTCAAACATGAGTCCTCCAAGATTCCAGCTTTTTTTGTAGTCACTTAACTCCCTTGAACGAATGATATCTTAACTACCAGTTTAAAGCACAAGTATCAAAGGAAGACAGTGATAATATGAAGTGTCACTGAATGAGAAATTAATCTGTGTCTACAGAGATGTACTCTGCACACCCAAAGCATTGTGATAAAACACATTTGAGAACTGCTTCTTCTGCAAGGGAAGATATTTTTTATATACCAAACACTTTTATTATATGTGAAGTGTTTTGATAAGACAACTGCACTATGTCCCCTGAAAGCTTAGTTTATTGACATTTCCAGCGGTACTCGCTGTGTCAGGAACAAATTACAGAGCTATTTTTCAAGTTGTCTTCAAAACCTAGAGACGTACTGAAAGATAAGGGAGACTCGTGAAACCATGAGGGCAAGAGCTGCAGTAAGAAGGACACTTCAGCCCTTCCCTGTAGCGTGAGCGAAGTCCCTGCAGCACCATGCCCACATCTCGCTACAATCAGTTCTCTTCTGCTGTTGCAAACCTGCCCTTGGGTTCTTACTCAGAGGGAGCAGCATTACACTGAATGAAGATTATGCAAAAAGCAACCGTTGAAGAAAACTGTTTTCACATAAAAAATCCAAATTTCTCACCACTTTTTATGGGCTTGTCAGCACTTTGCAGGCCTGTATTTTGGTGATAGTCACAGTGTGAAAGCTGAGTAGTTCAGGTGCAGCTGTCACTTCTGAGCGGGAAAGAGATGGCCCATGCTTAAGGATAAAACAGGATTAGGCAGGTACAAAACTCTTCAATCTGGTATTCCTAGATCTCGGTCTAAAGTGCAGTTATTACTGTAATTCTGTAGTATGCAGTTCACAAGAGAATCTGTTAATTTCACAATTTTATGTCTGTTAATAAATTGCAGCAGCCCAGGCAAACTATGATATGTGTAATAAATACTAGAATTTAGTATAATTAGAGCACAGTAAAATATAACAAATGCACAATGTTGTGAGGGTTGCTTTTAAACTCCTGATATATTTTCTTCTTCCTTCTCAGTAATGTATTCACGGACAAAATAGTTGAGATGTCATCTCTTGGGAAGTAGATGGACTTGCATGTGTTCAGCTGACTCTTGTATTTCTACTACAGTATTTCCACCGCTGACTTTCTTTTCAAGACACAGAGACATGGTGTCAAGGAGAATCTGTTACTTTGAGGAATTCAAAGTGAAAGAGTAGAACTTCTGCCATTTTAGAGCAGCGAATAACACCTGATTTGTACCACCTGGAAAGCAAACCAGACCATCTGCTTTGTATCAGCGTGGAGGATATTGCATTCTGGAGTCAAAGCATCATTCAGGCAAAGGTGTGAAGAGGAGGTAATTGGAGAAACAGTGTAAGAAAGAAGATCAAAGGCTTGTCTTAGAAGAGGAACATTATCCATGTAGTCTTAACCTACTCTTAAAATTAAAAAGAATGCATATTAGGCTTTCCCTTTGGTGGGCTTTTCCTGCTACTTTCACCAAGTCTGCATGTGCAGACACGTTAAGAAGGGCCTGCTTTTTGCAGAAGTTGGTACAGGAATGATACATTGCTTTAATCCTGCTCGTGTTCTCCAAAAGGACCTTCAGTTGGACATAAGGTGTGTCGGCCTTCCTCTGGGTCCCTGCCCAGGGCAAATCCCTTTCCCAGCAAGTGATGTTAGATTGTCAACAAGATACAACATTCAACAAAACCCTGTGGCATGTTTTCTTATTTCTCTTGCACACAAAGAAAATCAGACTGCAGAGTCCATTTGATATTAAATCAGCTTCAATCATTCAGATTAACAAATAGCATTGATCTGTAATTTTTCTTAATGTATTTCTCTAAAGGATTAACAACATGGATTTTTCTGTAGAAACAGCAGGTGTCTGTTTAGCACAGATGCAATTCTGACACTCTGGGAAGTGCTGGTGACCTGCATTTACAGTAAACATAGGAAAGAGGTCTGGCAGCAGGGAATAGTGCCTTTGCATGACAGAACTGAAACCTAACCCTGCCTTTTGAACACGGCTAGACTTCTGACAAGGTCAATGAAGAGCTGTGAAACATTCTGGCACCTGAGACGCACCCCCAAGAGGCATGCTTCCATTTCCTTAACAGGAATACTGCCAGAGAGCAGTGTTTTAAATCTAAACATGACACAAATCAAGTGTCCTTTTCCTACTTCAGGTATGTGCTTAGAGGCCAACATCCTCTTTGTTTTAATAAAACTTTTAAGTCCTGGCCTACCTTAGTGCTACAGTGGGTGAGCTATTTTCATTTAAGCATTCATTTCTGAAAACATTTCTACTGGACAACAGAGTTTATAATGCAAGTGATACTGAAAAGCCCATGCTGTTCTACTATTTCCAAAGATTTTTTAAAAGGCAGAAAGGCTCTCTTGATTGTTTGATCTGAAATGAATTGTACATACCTGTGGTATTGCCCAGTAACTCTTGCCTCGCATCCATACCTTCCATCTGAGCTATGGCACATATTTTAGAAAGACATTTAGTTGTGACTGGAAAAGATCTCAACCCCTTGTGAAATGCATTAGCTAACTCCTAGGTAACGCCACAAAACCTTCAGCTTCAAACACCAACTCTTGTGAGACAATGTTAGCGAAAAAAGTGAAAGTAGATGGACAGTTGCTCTGGCTTTCGAGCCATTTTGGTGCTGATCCTGCCTCTGGCATAAATCAGAGTCCAGGATTGTTCTCACTCATGTCTGTCTGGAGCAGTCTGCCTGTATTTTCATCAAACTTTGAAGATTGCCATTGTTTTTTGAAGCTGCAGAATAAGCCAGCAAAGATACAAAGGCTGACTTGAAAATGCACTCTGACATCATTGCTGCTGGTTTCTGACTCAGCAGAGACATCAATGTGTTTCTCAGAGTGGAGGATGTTGTTTCAGTTACACATGCTTCTGAGGCAGTTTGGCATGAAAGACTGAACAGGGTGGAAACTTTCACTTTGAGCAAAAGAACAGTTTTAATAGAGCTTACGTGCCTGTACCTTTTCACGTCCGTCCCTTCCCACAGCTCTCCCAGACCAAACGTTCAACTCACTAAACTGTTGGTGGAAAAAAAAAAAAAAAGAAAATAATAAAAAATTCAGTTAACTGTGCTTTCAGAAGAAAATATAACTGTGGATCTCTTGAACAACAATGTGGGAAAAAGCAAAGACTCTCCAGTCGCTGCAGAAGTATATCCTAACACAACAGAGTATTTTAGAGGAAAGGCACGGATGAGGACATTATGCCCTTACACTGCCGAATAATGTGGGAAAAAGCAAAGACTCTCCAGTCACTGCAGAAGTATATCCTAACACAACAGAGGAAAGGCATGGATGAGGACATTATGCCCTTACACTGCCGAAAGTCCTTGTCTTTTGTCCACCTCTTCTCCTTTGCAAGCTGCAAACAAACTGGAGGATGCAGCACAGATCAGGCACAGTCAAGAGAGATTTTCAGCCCCTCAATTAAAGCAGTGTGTAGGGTCCATCAAGTAAGCCAATATCTATGTAAACATCTAGTAATGGCTACACAGGGGGCAATCAGGGCATCATCTTTGTTTATCTGAGGCGGGTGCTCATACTGATAACCAGAACACTCTTGCAATGAGCAGAAACATTCAAAATGTTGAAGATTTTTTGAAAATGCTCAGTTCAAATTATGAAACTCACACTTCTTGAAAAAGCCTCTCTTTGGGCAAAGAAAGCAGTTCTCCTCTTATACTTGCACATATGCATTCTTGATCTGACATGACTTGCAACCACAAGAGAGCACTC